TTTTTTTTGATTATCAAAACGGAAAATTGGCCCAAAATAGTAAAAAAAAAACAACAAAAAAAAACACAAAAAAAACAACAAACTCCTTGAAAAATCTAAAACTTACCTTGTAGTGGGCTACACCAGCACTGCAAGGGTTAAATCAGTAGTGGAACTAATCCCCATAGCGACCCAGGTGGCTGTCATGGGGCCCGGGCGGCCTGCCCAGGACGAGGAACAAAGGGGTCCCCCCCTGATGCCGTGCGGGCCGCCTGGGTCGCTATGGCATCTCAGGTGAGAAGCCCGGCGTTGGCAGCGGGAGGGGGAGGGGCCCACCAGCGACCTTGGAGGAGGCGGGGCATGGCAGTGGAGAAGGCTGACAGCGAATCGGGGCTGACAGAAAAGAGGTGTTAGGGGTGTGACCAGCCCACCTGAGACCCTGCAGAGCCCACCATAGGGAGTCTATGGAGGGCTCTGCAGGGTCACTCTCAGGTGGGGTCTCCGGTGGGCTCTGCAAGGGGCGTAACTAGAAATCACAGGGCCCCATACAAAATGTTGCGATTTCTAGTTACACCCCTGCTCATTTTGGGGGCTTAAATGAAGCCGGTCCTCCAGTGGCCTAAAAATCATCACGTCCTAGACCTGCCGGGTACTTCACAAGTTGGAGCTCTCGACCAGACGGCGATAGACTTCAAAACACAAAGACTGGCGGAGCCACTATTCAGCAGGTGGCAAAGTGGACGAGTATTCTGAAAACGCTATGCGCGCTTGCGCACCGCAACTGTACAGAGCTCCGGTCTTTCTGAGCACTGGAAGTGAGGTAGTTGGAGATCTCGATGAGTTGGAGCTTTCGATAGAACACCGTCCGCTTTAGGGAGGTCACAGTTGAAGATACAATGTATCCCGAACACCCAACAAATGAATGAAGGACACGGGAATAGTTCCCGGCCTGTCAATGGTTGACAGACAAGGGAAGTGTGGAAAGTGATGTGGGGGGGCGGGAGGAGTTCAGGTATATGAGCAGGCAGTGAACCCAGAAGATGGGGCGTGGGAGAAGCCGGGGACCGCCATGAAAAGGTTAGCCGGGTCGCCGATGCTGAAAGGAAGGATCTGCCCCCAGACTGAATGCCTCTGGAGGAACAAGTCATGGCGGTGAGGAGGAAAGTGTGAAATCTGTTGTGTTCAGGAGCAGGAAACAAACGAGGCCGGCACTCCGTGCAACTTCTACAACATTCCCCCTGAACCGCTCCGCTGGCAGAAAATGGAACCCGAGAAGTGAGACACAACGCCGAGCGAGCATCACTTGTATCTACATCGAGCAGAACACCAGAGTCATGGAGAAATGGAAACCCGACTTCGGCACTCCAACCTTGGCAGTGCAACCTCGGCACTAGAAGCTCGCCACTCCAACCTCGGCACTAGAAGCTCGCCACTCCAACCCCGGCACTAGATCCTCGCCACTCCAACCCCGGCACTAGATCCTCGCCACTCCAACCGCGGCACTAGATCCTCGCCACTCCAACCGCGGCACTAGATCCTCGCCACTCCAACCGCAGCACTGGAACCTCCCCACCTCAACCCTGGCACTAGAACCTTGCCACCTCAACCCAGGCACTAGAACCTGAACACTCCAACCTCGGCACTAGAACCTTAGCACTCCAACCTCGGCACTAGAACCTTAGCACTCCAACCTCGGCACTAGAACCTTAGCACTCCAACCTCGGCACTAGAACCTTAGCACTCCAACCTCGGCACTAGAACCTTGCCGCTCCAACCCGGGCACTAGAACCTCACCGCTCCTGTCCCGGCACTAGAACCTTGCCGCCCCAACCTCGGCACTAGAACCTTGCCGCCCCAACTTCGGCACAAGAACCTCGCCACGCCAACCTCGGCACTAGAACCTTAGCACTCCAACCTCGGCACTAGAACTTTGCCACCCCAACCTTGGCACTACAACTGCAGAACTAGAACCTCATTGCAAGACTCTGACAACGACAGGCATAACTTCCAGAGAAAGGGGCCATGATAGGATTTGTAGTTTGACAGCAGCAGGAGTGCTTTGGTTGCCTACCCCCGCTCTCTAATATGTGAAATGAAAGGGCAACACCTGAAAATTGAGTACAAGACAGATTGAGGTGAAAGAAGATTTTACAGAAGCCAGGAGGAGACATTGTAAACATCTCTGACAGGTAACAATGTAAACATTTCTTCCTGAAAACACTCAAAGATGAAATTACAGCCCAGTTCAGCGGCGACGCATGTTGTGCACTTGTCGCCATAGAAACCGCCCTATAGCTTGTACATGGCCCGAGGGGACGCATACACCGAGGGAAGTATCACCTTTATTGCCTTCTACAAAGACTTCCATTTCCTTCTAGAAAAACCGGTCCGGAGACCGCGGCCGGCTCCTCCGAAACAGAACAGGATGCGGGCTACGGAGCTTGCCGCACAGGAGATACAATATACTGCACCAGGGGGGAGGGGAGGCGACCTTGGCACTCCAGCTGTTGTGGAACTACAAGTCCCATGAGGCATTGCAAGACTTGGGCAGCCCAGCCATGTCTCCCAAAGGCATTATGGGATTTGTAGTTCCAGCACAGCTAGAGTGTGGAGGTTGCCTACCGTTGTACTACACGTATGCCAGAATGTCGCAGATTTAGGATTTCGAGTGCTGTAAATCTCTCACTGACGGCTTTTTTTTTGAGACAAGTGCGTCAATGACTTCATCTCGGCGCTGATGATCTTCTGCAGCCTCTTCCTGTGTACATGCATTCCAGCGATGGCTGCATTGCATTTCTCAGGGCGGGTTTCCTGATGGACCATGGCTGCGTAATGTGCTTTGAAATGAGCACTTGTAATATGATTGCAGGCGTTAACCCCCGTACAGGTTCCGGAATACAATATTTGCTGTAGTGGTCCTTTAAATTCACTTAAAGGACCACTACACAAAATATATTGTATTCTGGTACCTGTACGGGGTTATTACAGTACCTGCAATGATAGTATTTGATATATGAATACCTGTTGCTTTACCCCGGCAATGCACAGAGTCACTTTAAAGAGAATTCATATTGGTTGCTATGGGTTACCTTGCCTGCTCGCACCCATTCAGTGAATGAGGCTTTCAGCCTATGCAACTCCGGACAGAAATACTTAAAGGATGAGATCACTTTAAAACAAAGTGCACTGATCCTTTTTGCCTTGACCTAAACTAACTACTCCACAGATGCGTACTTACCTCAACTGCGGCCTTCGGTGTTTGTTTACATCCTGGCCATACCTGCACACTACAGCCCCATAGACTCCTATGGGACCGTCTCACGTGCACAGGTGCGGCCAGGATGTAAAAACAAACACTAAAGGTCCCATTCACACTGAGCGACATGAAAATCACGCGATTTTCCGCACGATTTTATATGTGCGATGTCGCACAACTTTTTCCAATTGGGCTGTATGCAATCAGGAGCAAAATCG